TGCCGAAGGAAGATCTACATGCACACGCTAGTCATAAGGTAGCTTGGTGACAGGCAACAACATAATAAGACGGGCAGGAGATACACGCGCCCGCATTGTTTGGCGCGGCGGCAGATCCTGAGAAAGAGCGAAAGGGGAGGGGGAGTGACAGGAGCGATGGCGAGCGAGATGGCGAAGGGGGAGCGCCACTCCTCACGCTGGCACAACTTGGCAAGAGAGGGGGCGCCCGCGCAGGGACCAATATGATTATTCACGCGGAACTATCGTAAACAGCTAAAGCAAGATGCTCCCCTTCTGTCCTATGCCACAGCCCAAGAAGCCTTAGATTTCAGCTCTGTCTACACTACGTTGCAAGAGGGGCGGCGGCTCCCCGGGAAGCCCCATCTACTGCTTCTCCTTCTGCGTCGAATACGGCCATAGGTAGTGGCAGAGAGGTGCCATGTGCAATCCACGGTTCGTAGACACACTCGCTGTCATCGTCACCAATATCCCGCTTACCCCAGAGCGAGCCAGATAATGAGCGGTGATGCCGCGCAGTCTCGTTCGCGAAGCCCTCCGTCTGTCTGGATGGTAGGATAATCGCATACCTCCTCGTCGATTTGCACCGCATGTCCATGGTTGGATCAGCCAAGCCGACACCAACCTTGTTAGGATCCCGCCTCCACCACTAAGCCTGGTTGTGCATGGCGGGCCGGGGTAACGAACTTCTGCGCATCTGATCGACAATCCTGTTCCAAACCCGCGTTAAGGGCGGTTCGTGTGCTGGGTCGCGCGGCTGGGCTTGTCCACAAACAACATCTCTAAGTCCGCCGATCCGTCGCGTGAGTTTCTGAAAGCGTGGACTAGAGCTCGCTCAAGTTTCGCTCTGCGAGAGGCGGGGGGGGAGGGGGGCGACGCCATTCCCAACGCCATTCGGTGCTCGGGAGCCTGGGGGGGAGTTCGCTCTGCAAGGCGGGTGGGGGGCGGCCGGGGGCGCCATCCCCGACGCCATTCAGCGCTCGGGAACCGGGGGGGGTGTTCGCTCTGCACGGGGGGGGGGGGAGGGGGCAACGTCATTCCCGACGCCATTCAGTGCTGCTCGGGGGCCGGGGGGGAGTTCGCTCTGCAAGAGTAGAGGGGGGGGGGGGGGCGCCATTCCCGACGCCATTCAGTGCTCGGGAGCCGTGGGGGGAGTGCGCTCTGCAGGGGGGGGAGCGCCATTCCCGACGCCATTCAGTGCTCGGGAACCGTGGACTCGAGCGCTCTGCAGAGAGCGGGGGGGATTCCCACATCTTCATTTTATGAGGATGTCTCGAACGAGAGCTGTATCTTCAGCATACACGGTCATCCATTCCCACCAGCATCGGGAACGCCACAGATCGGCGGCACTGGCCGGAGGCCACAACAATAGTTGTGAACCCGGCCACCCAAACGCGAAGTGCTGCCTTGCCGACGCCCGAGCAACGTTGACCGCAACAGAGACGAGCAACTCGTTCGGCTTGGGCTCAAGACCGTCGGGAATAGCATATTCTTCTCGGATTCCCCCATTTGCGCGCATGCGCTCTGCTGGGTAATATCTGGCAATCTCGCCGTCGTCAACAGGCAACCGCCATGCTGAACATGTAGCGGGTAAGGCCTTCACGCAAATTGCCCTCCAGTGCGTCCATGACATGGCCCACGCCAGCGGCGCCAATTAACTACAAGACCCATCACGAAAGGATGTTGCCATACCGGTCGATATCCACCTCTTCTCTGGAGCAGCACTTCCTCGGGCCGCCCCTCTGCATCCAAACCTTTTGCACCGCGGTCGAGCTGCGCCCTCTTGCCAAACAGAAAAGCGATAAACCGTCATCGCTGCACGCCGCGGGCTCGCGGTAGGCAGCTTTGCACGCGTAGCCGAACACAGCGAAATCAAGTGGATGATGGCCAGCACAAGCCGCCAATCGTTCGACTCAGCAAGTCTCAGGTGGCAGATGGGCGCCTCACATATGTCTGACCTCACCATCCTCACTACATACGCGTCCCCAACTGCATCTGGGCTCGCAGTCTGCATCTTTCAAAGCTGGTGCACAAATCAGCACCGAAAAAAAACAGCACTAGAACCACGCGCGCGCGACGCGCGCTTAGGTTCTAGTCGACTCTGAAGATGTTGTCCAGATGCGCTGTCTGAGAAGAGCAACGATGATTCGCATTCGCGAACTCTTCGGGGCCTCTTAGGGCAGCTTGGGGACCTCTCGGCGTCCTCGGGGGGACTCTTGGGAGAGCCTTGACGCGTTCTCAGTTGCCCATTGCCTTCCGCCAACTATCGCAGCTGAGGGGTTTGCTACTTGGTCCCACATGCACGCAGCAAGAACGCCCCTTTCTCATCGCTCTCCGAACTGCGTTTGTACCGAAGTTATGTTCCCGCAATTTCTAAGTTAAGAAAGGAACGACCTGCTGTACATGATAGGAGCTCAGAAGGTTGTAGCAAAACGCTCTCTGGGGGTCATTCGTCGGAATCATCACCCTCTTGGTTTGCGTAAGCCGAACAAGTGGTACTTACTAGAAGCGGGTTTGCGCGAGAATGTTCTGAAATGCCGATGTCAGCCATGCGAGCGATGATCAGGCGCAAGATGAACTGATCTGCTCCATTGGAACACCATGCGGCTTGTTCTTCGCAAGGGCGATCACCACTTTAGTGCGAGACGCAAACTTTGTTTCAACATCTCGACGTCGAATGCGTCGTCGTCTCCGTCGTTACCCCACGTTTGTTTGGCGAACAACGCAAAGCAATCCGTTAGGGAGTACAGTGTCTCAACTGCCCGACAGCATGGCCAAACAAAACCACACTCTTGAAAACGAAAAGTCCAAGTCATAAAATCCGAATGCTCTCGGACCGTTGCTTCTCTCCTTGTTGCCAGCTGTCAGACTGGCGGCAGCGCAAGTACCCCGAATCGAGTGGCAGTTGCAACGCGATGGCGAATACATACGCCGCAACGATAGCCCATGCGGGCCAAAAAAAAAAACAAAAGATGTGTATGGTCGGTGCCGCTTGCCTTGTGCACGCGACTCATAATTGCTGGGACACACAACTGCACACCGTGAAAGACCTTACAACACGTTCCATCGTCGCCCCATGTGCCCCAGAATCTAGCCACAAACATGAAAAAGTTCACGTCCCTCCTCGAGTATGTCGTCTGCCCTTGGATTGCCCCCTTGAACAGTCCGGGTGCTTAACATCACACAGAACGCGAAAGAAGCCCCCGTCGTCGACTGGCAACCACGTTCGCCCGTCTAACCGACAGCAAACGCAGCTACAGCAGAAAGCAGCAATCCGCATACCACCGAATATGTAGCGCGTGCATCCGCAGCCCCCTGCACGCCTCTCCGAATCCCATCTGGATGCATCAAAGTCTAGAATGGCACGGCCGTACGATTCCACGGCTTCTCGTCGTCGTGGACAAACTTGGTGTCTAGTGTAGCTGATAGGATATCCTGGGTTTCTTTCGAATGGAAGCCTGAACACTGCGCGAACACTCGGCGGAAAGTGGAAACTGAATCGTCGCCTCCTGCCATCTAGACCCGCTTGCGCGTGCCAACGACATCTCGAAGAGCCCAACTACGCGACCAACGCCGATCTGCTGTGACAATCGCGACTCGACCGACTGGTAACTTAGCGCGGCCCCGCCGGAAACCCCTGAGCCTTGAGACAAAATGGCTACGGAAGAGGTGTTGGCGACCTTGGAAGCCTCTTGAAGCAGCCCAGGAACCTTTAGGGCTTCTCTTCAGCCGGACCTGGAACATATTGGGAACGTCCTGAAGGGATCTCCAAGAACTTCGTCGGGGAAATCAGAGCCTCGTTAGGACCGCTTTGAAGACTCGGAGACAAGAAGTCTGACCAAATGCACCTGGAATCATCATTACTCTACGAACGCTCGGCACCCGCCCGATATCCGATTTGGAAGCCCGCGCCATTGTGGAGTACAATGGCAAACAGTTTCTCAAATACAGTCGGGGCCCTGAAGAAAGAACCCTTTTCGTTAAGGAGGGGCTCCGCGTTCCTTAAGTGTTTCACAGTTTGCCTCAGGCTTCCCTTATGTTTTCGACAGGAAATCGAAAGTTAACTTATGGGAAAAAAGGGGCCTCGTTCCTTATTTAGGGTTCCTTAGGTCAACGCCCCGACTGTACGCAACGGCTTGTCGAACCAATCCGCGCAGCTTTGAACACTTCGGCCGATCGCTGGCTTCCTTGGAACTGCGGGGCGGGCTGAACAGTCAAGACAGCTGCACGCGTGAGAGCGGAACAAAACGGAAAAGCGACGACGAACTTACGCTTGTGAGCACGAACTGCTCGACTGGGCAGATTGAAACAGACTGAAGACAGACATGCTGCTTCTGAGCTGCATTTGAAGAGATTAAGATGGATTGACCTTTGTTGAATTG